GTAAAATAACGATTTGAATCGATATTAATCTGTCGAGGAATAAGCGAAACTTTGTCACAGAAATTACAGAGACTATATAATTTCTATCATTTAATTTTATTAGCAAGATTCCAATTATACTGACACATTTGTTTACGATAGTTTTGTCATTGGGTGCAATGACGCGATTACAGAAGAGGGCCGAGCCAAAAGGGTGTCGCAACGCTGGAATGTCTTCAGGCGTTTTCAATATTAAAGATGACTAGGTAACAAACGATGACTAACAGCGCTGTATCATCGAATGGAACTATAAGCCACAAGTATATATTGCGCGCGAGTTCGTTGTCCCTCGCGGTTAAAAATTTCTTTGTTACTTTACATTCCGGAAGTGAGCCATCCCGAAAAAATTTATCAATCACCAGTTCACCAAAGTTCCAAGAAGTTCTCGATAAAATTTTCGAGAAAACGTTTCAACAAATATTTCGAACTAATATATACACGTGATTAATGATACAATGATTCGTACGTATCGATACGTAAGAAATACGGTACGTACGTTCGAGTACGTTCGCTTACAGCCATTCACAATTATTTATTTCTCGAAAATGAAATTGAAGCGAGGAAGTGGTATTATATTTACGGTTTCAAGTGGCATAAATCTCGCGCCAACTTTCGACAGCGATGAAATTTCAAAATATCTCCCCATCGCCGCCATAAATCGTTCCATTGTATAAGATGATGCTGCGTAACGAGGTACGGGCAAATATGGCAGTGTACACGCAATCCGAACAATTTGCCGATAAAATCGCGATCCGGAAGAATAGTCGCTTCGAGCGATCGTTCCTCCTTGCATGTCTAATATCGCCTACGAAACGATCTTTGCCATCGTCGAGACCCACACCGAGAATCGACGAAAAAAAAAAAAAAAAAAAAAAAAATCATTGCTGAATCAGCAATGCAAACGAGAATTCGCGCCTACTTTCACGTTGTTCGAGGAAAGAAAAGGCCTTCTCGATCCCTGACGCGGTGTATATTTTTCCATCTTTCTTTCGTACACGTTCCTTGTAACATTCGAAATTTGTTTGTTTGATCCAAATAAAAACTGAAGAAACTGGATTTCCTCAAAAGGATGCTCCATAAGATTCATAAGTGGTTGAGAACCATCGTTTTAACGAGTAATTTTACGACCTCGCTTAACATTTTCAACTTAAGGCCTTTTTTCCTTATTTCCTTTTATTTATCCAATTTTCTGCAATCGTAAAAGCCACGCGTTTACATCGCCGGTTCAAGATAATCTTCTCAAATCTTTTACTCATTTTGACCTTAATTATTTTCGCTTCACTTTCGATCCGTTCAACGATATCTTTTTGGGGATATTTTTTCCCGCGCGTCAAGATCAATTTCTCGGGTTTTAATTACCGTTAGAACCGTGGTCGTGAGAAGCGAATTGGATATTGGCAAATATTGAGTTGGAGCATGTCACGAGCACGTTTGACTTCTGTTCGAATTGCCAAATCGCTTCGAAGCCCGGTATGGTGTGTTGCCAAATCCCCTTGGATCGTGTGTGTTAACGTACGCGTGTACCGAAGTACGGGTTACTTAGAGCCGGGGAGAAGTAATTTACCGGTATAAATTACGTACTTTGCAGCTTTCGTAAGGATAACAGGTTTTTGCGCGATGCTTAGCGGCGCGGCTATCGAATAATTCAAAGGCCAATTGGTTAAAATCTAGTTGAAATTGCGCGAAAACACCTTCCGCCTTTTTTTCAGTAATTGAATTACTTAATTTCAGGTAATACGATCTCGCACGAGTCGACTCGAAATCGTTAGTTCGAGTAACTAGACTTCGATTGGACGCGTGTAATTATAGAAAATAGCTATTCGAAATCTAACGAAGCGGTGATTTTATATATATATATATACACATGTATATACGAGTATATCGATTGTAACTTTGATTATATTTTTTTTTTATTTAATTAATACAAGAATGTTATGCAATGATCGAAGATAAAGTTCGAAAGAAATTCGTTCGATAAAGATATTTGATATTAATATCGAGAAAGGAGGTTTTTAAGTGAAATAACTTGGGCATGGGATGCTCGAAATAATTTTCCAACTCGTTAGAGATGCACGTTAAGCGATGAATCGAGAAAAGAATGCGAGTGGCGATATGAGTTACGGCACCTTGTCCCTTGTAAGGTATCCTTCGATCATCTGGAGCCACGTGTCCCTGTAAATGGAAACACGCCGGCTAATAATAAACGGGAAGAGCGATGGAACTGAATGGTGATCGAAGACTGCGAATTTTTAGAAACCACGTATATTTTTATCCCTCTTTATATCCCTTGCGCCACGTGTGCGAGGAGATAATAATATTTCCATGGATTGTTATTGATCTTCTTTTTTTTTTTTTTTTTTTGTTTTTTTTCTTATATCCTACGAGAAACGCGATTCGTATTTGTCTCTCGATCAATATCAATAAGAAGAAGTAAATTTTACATGTATAAACAATTCCGAAAAGTGAGTAGATTAATATCATTATTTTTAATGCAATGTTGCAATTTTTAATTTACATCAAGTTGCAACAGCTGACAGCTTAAGACGAATTTATCGTTATGTAACGATGTATTTCGATAAGAAAAACAGTTCACACCTCTTAAACGTTAAAACTTGATTAATAAAACGAAGTACACGCGAAATAACTTAATGAATTCAGATTGTGATCGTTTTTAATTAAAATTAATATCTGATAGAGAATCTAAAAAGGAAAAATAAACTGAAATTAACATTTTGCATAAAATTGAAAAGCTTGGCTAGAATTTTAATTTTCAAATGTGTATTTTTTTTTTTTTTTTTTTTCTTTTTTTAAATCGAAAGTAGCACGAATGAAAATACCTGTCTTCATCTCGTTTGCAACGTATCGCGATATCTTTCTAGGTCGATTTCGTTTATAATAATCTCTTTTTTTTTTTTTTAATCGTCGATATCTTTGCTTTGACACTTTTAATACCTTTATCATCTTTGCATATTTGATTTTATCTGTACCGGTTTCCACGTATTTACCTGTATATATGTAGATACGCAAATTCACCTGAGAAAACAAAAGAATTTCGAAACTCGCCGAGAGAAATCTGTTTAATCGGTGTGTGTTCGGTTTACCAAGAATATCTCGATATTGCGAAATCTAAAATTTTGATAGGTGATTAAAGGATTCATTCTCAACTACCATGAATCACTCGAAATCCCACCCTATGAGGGGAATATGTGACACGAAATCCATGAATCATCCCTTCATGTAAAACCTAAGCAATAGGGTATCCCATACACCGATATTTCCCACTCAACCTCCTCCCGATGAAAGATCCGAATCACGTTTTGAAAGGAGGCATTTTGCCATTCATTAGTCCCTCGAAATTCTAGACGTCCACGTGAAATACTTTCTCGTTTCACTCGGGTCGGTTAGTGCGGTCCTGTCGTGGGCAAAGCGTGGAAAAGAAAAAAAAAAAAAAAAAAAAAAAAAACAAGGCGTGCACGAGACTCGATACTCCAGCTTGCTCTAAGGTATCCTTCGCGTATAATCCTGGTTATCTCGTGCCTGCATGCCTCTGCAGGCACATCTGCCACCGTCGAAGAAAGAGGAAATTGCTGCGAGTTGGCCCGTGGAGAATGGACCTTGTGTTCTTGCACTTCTTGGACCGGTGCGCGTAGGTATACACACATCTAACACCTGCCTTCTTCGTAAGTTATTCCATTCCTTTTCTTCTCTCTCTCTCTCTCTTTCCCTTTCTCCGTTTCCTATTCATCCTTGTCGATTACCTTATGGCGAGAAAGGCAGAGAAAGAGAGAGAGAGAAAGAGAGAGAGAAAGAAATAATGGGACGAAGGAGCAGGGCTCGTGCTGCTCGTCCATTCGATCCTTCGGTTACCTGATCTTTGTACGTTTTATGGTCAACCTTGCCTCGTCCGAAATTTCCGGAAACTGTTCGAGAATTCTTCTTTTCGCATATACGTATACACGTATTTAAATTCTTTAAGTCTTTAAGCTCTGGACTTTTACTAAGCTCTGGATATTTCGGATATTGTCGAAGTGATTTTTATACGGATTGGAGGAATAATATCTTTGGGATACGCGTGATGTTTTTGAGAGAACGTGGCAATCACGAGAAGTAAATAAGAAGCGTATAATAAGTAACGGAAACAGACCATGTGACCAGTTAACGCCACTTTGGACTCGTGAAAATGACAAATTCCAAATTTGTTATTTCGCGGTAATAAAATTACACGATGTTCGTACAAGGCATGAATCCATAGTGTAGGAAATATTTCCAAGTAATGGCGGCAAGAAAGTGAGTTTCTCCACGAGTGGCAAGACAATGCATCATCGATTTCTCAGGCCTTCCCCGTGGCCAAGCGCGTCGAAACACGTCCATCGAAGGCTGTATTTATTTGGGTCGCGGACACCGAGGGAATTATCTGCTCGATCCTTCCGCTCTTGCAACGTCTCTGACCCCCATTCCTCTTTTTCGTTATCGGTCTTTATCAACGAAACCGCTTCGCGGCTAGTTGTGCATTATTTTTAACCGATTGCTCGCGAACTTTCGCGAAGCAACCGTCTGGACGGTGTTACGAAATCGCGAGTAGGCCGAGCATCTTTCTGATTTATAATTGCAAGGGTGATGAAGTTCCAATGAGATCGGTTTATCGTTATATTGTATAGGGAGAAACCGATCTTAATAGGTTCAATATATCTTAATTGTGTTTCGAATCGAAAATTGATATTGTTATATTTAGAAATATATGTGAAATAGTTCGAGATATTTTGCGTGCACGACAAGCATTGGAAATCGAAGTTGATCAAAATTGTCGATACTTTTCAAATATAATCTCTAATCAAGAGGTATCTTTATGATTTTGTTTTATTATGTTCAAAGATATATTTTGTCCTTTTTTTTTTAAATTAATGTTTTAAACTATGTTCAAAATATATTATGAGGTTTAAACGTGACTCACCGAATTTCAGATTTTCTAAAATGTCGGGGGAAGAGGCACGATCATCGCGCAAGGAAAGGCAGGAAGATAAGACGGATCCGGGTGCTAGTAGACACGGGAACTTCATGAATTATTACCAATTCCATCCTGCGGAAGAGCGCGTGCGACAACTTCCGCGTGGCGTATGGCGGTCTGCCCATCCGGACCGGAAATACGTAGGCCTAGACGTCGGCTGTAACGCGGGGGTAAGGCTGAAACAGCTGTCAGACAAAATAGGATGAGTCGTGACCGTGATCCGAAAATTACAAACGACAACCGTCTAAATTTAGTCGATCTTATCCCTTCTCGACGATCATTCTTCCTTCCGGAAATTCTTTTCCATTTATGAGAGATATTTTTCAATTTAAAAAAATTACAAATATTTTAAAAAATTCTTCTTCGATCCCACATATTTAGAAAAAAAAAAAAAATTCATCTTCTTCATCAAAGGATATCTCGTAAATATCGCAAATCGTATTTAACGATTTCAGGACTTAACATTCGTGTTGCACGACTTCCTCGAGAAAGCTTTATCGGCCGATCAGCCGAAGGAGATCAGTTTGCTCGGCGTGGACCTCGATCCGATTTTAATCGAGCGGGCACGGGAACGTAATCCACACCCTGATCGTATTATTTTCGAGTGCGTCGATTTTTTGACCGAGGATTGTGACCGAGTCCTGAACGAGCATCTTGGCCGATTCGAAAAGTCACGATTCGACGTCGTGTTCTGTTTCTCGATTACGATGTGGATCCACTTGAACCACGGGGACGAAGGACTGGTGAAATTTCTAAGAAAGGCTTGTTCCATCGCCGACATGATAGTGATCGAGCCACAAGTCTGGAAATGTTACAGAAACGCGTCCAGAAGGCTTAGACGATCGAAGGCTGAGGATTTCCCATTGTTGAAAACGTTGAAATACACTGGAGATCCTGTTGAGCATATTGAACGTATATTGAGGGAATTTTGTAATTTTCGAAGAGTCATGGTTACGAAGAACAATGAGTGGAAACGGAGACTATTAATTTATGCGAGGACGTGAGCTATCGCTCTTGAGATTGATGCATTTCCGTACGCTAATCGACGTCGAATGAGCGACGAGGATATAGTACATATATATATATACATATATATATTATTATTATTATACACATATATATATTTTATGCGAATGTGGTTAAGAATATTAATACAATTGGTGGAATAATTTCTGATAGATGATTTGCATAGAGAAAAGATAAATGATTTGCATTAATGAAAAATATCAAAGAAAAGTTATCAAATTTTTGGAAATTTTTGTTTATTTTTTATATATTTAATTTTCCGTAAGGTTGTAATATGTTGAAGTTTAAAATTGGCTAACTTCAAGTTTCATTTTGATACATTTGATTGATTATTTAATACAATTATTTACAATGATACATAATATTTAGCTATTATATTTAGATAATTTTGTTTTTTTTAAATAATTTTAAGTTTCTGAAATTTCGAATATTCAAATGTAAAAAAAATAATAATCATTTTGAAATATTAAATTGTATGTCAAATTCTTTATTCTTTATCTGTAAGATATAAATACGTATAAATTTATCTTATTCTTACGTTAACTTCCTCTTTTAGAACGTCAGAAATAATTGGAAAGCATTGAAATATTTCTGTACGTGATTCATATGTAGATGTTCCAAATATTAATTTAGACCTATATAAATTTTTTTCACATATTATATAAAAAATCGATATGAACTTTCTAATTAACCAAAGATAAAAATATCAATTATTAATCCTATATAAAGTGACGTAATAATGAGAGAAGATAGAAAAAGAGTAAATAATAAAGATTAGTAGAGGTTACAATTACTTGAAGGGAAAGATTCTGAGAACGACGCGAGATGGCAATACCGTACAAATGTTTGTTCTGCTGATGGCGAAGTACGAGCATAACAACAAACTGACATGAACTCTGCGAGCAAGGTAAGCTAAAAGGCATCTGTTGTCGCCGATTTTAGGCAGTTTCCCGCCATATAACACTTAACGGTCGTTCTCCCCCACCGCTCGTCTTCCTTTTTCTACGTGAGTCACGTGCTTTAACCCTCGAGTACTCTAGCAATGGAGTCTGTAAGCGGGCATAAGGTTAGGTTATGATTTCCTTTAACATTTTTTTTTCTTTATTCTTCGACAAAATTGTTTAATAAATTGATATAAATTCTCTTTTTGTAATTGTTTAATAAAAATCTGTGAGAAGAAGAGAATATAAATATTAATTGCACAACAAATCATTCAAGCATTTCAAATATTAATTGTTTTAGGTTGGTGAAATTTTCACCGCAGCCGGAGCAGCATTTAACAAGTTGGGAGAATTAACCATGCAATTACATCCTACGACGGACTCACCAGCAGGGTAATTGAATAAAAAATGTATATGCAATAGCTTTTTTCCCATAAATAGCGGTAATGCATCTATTGCTTTCGCTTCAGTTTACATGACACTATCCGCGTTAGAGAAACGCGGGAGAATGTCACGTGGTGTAGCCTATTAACCAATAAGAGACTTTCACACTCTACAGCTTTGTTCAATTTTTATGTGCGAATTGTTTAAATTTGAAAAAATTTTTTGCTATAATATTATCATTTTTTGCTATTACACAAAAATATTATGATTTTTTCTTTTATATTAATAATAAAAATAAGATAAACATTATTCACGTTTTTTGTTACCTACAATTTATTCAAAAATTATTAATGCATGTAAATAAAAAAATATATAAAATTTTAATTATTTTTTTATCATCATTAGTGATTAAAAATTAAATAATTAAGAATAATTTTGCATCATAATTGCTTTATTGCAAAAGAAATGGCTGGCTGTATTTTTACATAATTTTTTGTGTCGCTTGATCTGTAGTAAATGGACTGACGAGGAAATTGAGATGCTCCGTCACTCGGTAAAGACCTTCAGTGAAGACTTGAACAAAATAAGTGAACACATCAAGGGACGAACGGTGTAAGTGAATAAGGCTACATCGAGCCCACGGTCGTTCCTCAATTTCTCTACGTCAGTTTCAGCTCAAAATTAACCGAACATTTTGACTTTTTAGCTCTCAGATTCGGACAACACTGAAGAAGAAAGCATTTGAAGAGGCTGGTGTTCCAATTAGACAACAAATGCTTTCCCAACAATCATCGCAATCAACCGTTCAAGTATCGAAACAACAAGGAAATCAAGGATTAATGGGAAAGTCAGCAGAAGTAACGTTAAACATGTTAAATGCACCAGAATCGGAAGTAGATGTTGAAGGACTGCCAGAAGAAGTAAAACTTGAGTTCGAGGGTGCGACGGAAGAAGTTGCCTCTTAATATCGAGAGTGATCTCAAACGTGTCTATTTCTAATTTCAATTTTTAAATTTAAGATAATTTTCACATAATATATTTAGTATTAAGTAATATGTACATTCGATAAGTTATGTTTCTCAAAAAAAAAATTTTTAAAAATTGATCGTGTTTTTTCTTCATGTTTCTTTTTTACCGACTCAATCTAGTGTTTTGAGGGCGCCACAAGAAAATCATCAATAGAGATGTAAGTTGGCAGCTATTCCAAATGAAGTGATATGCATTAGTAAATAGAGATTTTTTTGTTGATCTTTTGGTATTTGATTGTTTCGCGGCTTACGTTAGTTTTTTTCACATGACGCATATGATTGACAGATTAGCAATGACACGACTGGCAGCGTACCTAACTTGTTCAAGTTAGTTAATCGGTAGCATTCACTGGCTAATCTCCGACTGCATCCTTCATTTTATTATTTAAATTGCAGTTGTCTCTCATTTTATAGAGGGATTGGCTCTATGTATTCGATCAAAGTGTAATGATTTATACGGTGAATTTAAGTGAACGTTTTGGGACACCACCTGTAGCTTGTAAACATTAAAATATCACGATTAAACGTAACAATGGAAGGAGGCATATTAGAAAGTCCAGAGACTACTCTTGAGAGATACGATGATGAGATTGCGCTTCAAGCTTGCTGTAGTCCTAAAAGGAGACTGCATAAGTTTATTGGCCTCGCATTGATGTGTCTCTTAGGCTTTGGTATGATTGTCAATGCTATGTTATCTTTACAACCGATCGAGTAGCCATTGTTTATATCTGATCGTTCTTGTTTCGGTATATTACAACCTCATTTTAAATATTTTAAGGCCAAATTATTTGAAATATTTAATATTTATAATTGGATTTTTTATTTTTTTTCGGTTAAATTCTTTATAAGATAATTTCGATTGCGAAATGTAATAATTTTATTGATTAAATCTTCTAATATGTAAGATTGGTTTTTATAAATGTAAACATCGAATTCTGTACTTCGATATTTAGGATTGCATATGTAACGAAATTCTAATGAATTTATAGAATTATAAAAAATATAATTTTATTTCTTTTATTATTAATTCAGAAAATTTATGAATGAAAACATATAGTATTTTGACTGAATTAAAATTCAATTTGATTTTAATACAAAAAAAAAAAAAAACTCGCGACTTTTTTATTTATACGTACAACAATGTTAACTTCATTTTAAAATAAATTATTAAATTTTATTTTTAATTAAATATATAAATATTATTTTAATAATAGTCAAAATAATCATAAAATAAGTTGTAATATTTAATTTTTATAATGTAAAAAAATTTATAAAATCTTGTTTTTATTTAATTAACTATTCGATTGAAATATATTTTTTAAAAAATATTATAAAATTGCATTTTATATATCTATTTCTAAGTATTTATCGTTTAATATATATAATACAAATAATAATTTCAATAATTATATGTAAAAATCTTACGAATTATCTCAATCTTAATCATGCTTTACTTTTCTTCCGTTTTTGATTCCATTTGGACTTCAATTCGGAGTCCAACTAAGAGATAATATATACATTTATACATATACATGTATATTATCTGTGCAGCCATATTATTCAGATCGTTTTAACTCGCAATAAAGTCTATTATTATAAAATTAATTTTTTTTTCGAAGTTATATTATTATTATACATAATTTTGGGATTATTTTACAAAATAATATAAACTGTATATGCGTGGATTTAAATCATATAGATTATTACTACGTATTTCGAATATTCTTTTAAACGATCAGGTCATAGACCCCTTTAAGATGATTTGCTTATCACGCGACTGCACTTTCATCCGGTCATATCAATTAATTGTATGAAATATTTTTATTTCCAGGTGCGTACTTTTGCTTCGATAATCCTGGCGCCTTACAGGATGATTTTAAAACTGACTTGCAAATGCCAACCAGTAAATTTGTTTTGCTTTATTCCATATATTCGTGGCCGAATGTTATTTTATGTTTTATCGGCGGATTTTTATTGGATAGCATATTTGGCATACGTCTAGGAACAATTATATATATGGGACTTACACTAATTGGTCAAATTATATTTGCAACTGGAGCTATAGTCAATGTTTTTTGGTTGATGATGGTTGGACGTTTTGTGTTTGGGTATTTTTTTTTTTTACGATAAAGATTTATAGCAAATATAAATTTTATGATATTAGAAATAATTTTTATGTTTTTTACAGTATTGGTGCAGAATCATTAGCTGTTGCTCAAAATAGTTATGCTGTTTTATGGTTTAAAGGAAAAGAACTCAATTTGGTATTTGGATTGCAACTAAGTTTTGCTAGAGTTGGTTCAACCGTGAACTTTTTAGTAATGGAACCAATATATAATTACGTATCACAATATTACAAAGGACCACAATGTATCGGCATAGTTCTCTTTCTTGCTGCTCTCACTTGTGTAATATCTATGATCTGTGCATGTGTATTGGGTATTATGGATAAACGTGTAGAGAGATTATTGAGAAGGGGAGAGGGACAAGAGCACGAGGTCGTTAGTTTAACAGATATTAAAGATTTCAAATTAATATTTTGGTTGATTGCCCTCATTTGCATTGCTTATTATGTGGCAATATTTCCGTTTGTTGCTTTAGGAAAGTAAGTATGAATAGAAAGAAATCTTTTTAATTATATTTTACATAATTATACTCATAATTATGTGCAATTGTTTATCTTAGAGTATTTTTCGAACGAAAATATTCGTTTGAACCATCAAATGCAAATACAGTTAACTCACTCGTATATTCCATATCGGCTGTTGCATCTCCCATTTTCGGCTATCTTGTTGATAGAACCGGAAAAAACGTTTCTTGGGTGTTTACCAGTATTCTTGTAACTATAATAGCTCATGGATTACTTGCATTTACATATATGAATCCTTATGTATGCATGATTCTTATGGGAATAGCATATTCTATGCTCGCTAGTAGTTTATGGCCATTAATTGCACTTGTCACTCCAGAATATCAGCTTGGTACTGCTTATGGAATGTAAGTAAAATTTAATACATTTCTTATAATATTAATTTTTGAGATGTTTTAATTCTTGTAATATTATTTTTACTTACAGTGCACAGGCTGTACAAAATTTGGGTTTGGCTATAGTTTCAATTTTAGCTGGTATAATTGTTGATCGGGGAGGATATTTTATGCTTGAAATGTTTTTCTTGGGTTGGCTATGGAGTATGTTTTTTTTTTTAATATTACGATTTTGATTATGTAAACGTTTGCAAAAAATGTACAATTACATATAACATTTTTTAATAGTTTCATTGATAACTGCTGTTGCAATCTGGATGACAGATATAGCAACTAGTGGCGGTTATCTGAATATGACACCAAGTCAAAGGGAAAAATATGAAGAAATACGACGTTCACCGGAAAGTTTCGAAAGAGCGAAGTTATTGGCTCCAGAATCTACTTCGGATTTATCCACTGATGATCTTTTACAACCACAATCTGATATTAGCATTAGAAATCGATATCTTTCTCGTATTGGAGGAATGGTAATCTACCTAATATTTTTTTTTAAAAATGATTATTTAACGAAAAATATAATGCTTATGATATTTCTTATATTTTTTAGGTACCACCTAATGTAAAAGCTCCAATTCATCGGCCATTACGATGACGAATTTTACTTAGATAAATATGAAATAGCTATATTTGTTTAATATCTGAGTAAAAGAATTTGCTCACTGTGTCTTCCTCTTATACAGCATTAATCTGTGATAATTTCTTAATTGATGCGTTTGAAATCAACTAAGATTCATTTTTAACAAATCGATTAATAGATATTTTATTAACGAACTAATGTCGAAATATGTCGAAACATGGTTGAAAAATGATAAAGATATATATATTATTTGTTTTTGATATTCATTATAACTACAAATTTTAATAATAATACGATCTCACGTAACGTAAAACAATGTATTTATAACATTAACACGAACAAATCAAGAATTATTTTCTACCTCTTGTTTTAAAAAAAAGATCTTAAATTAATTGTTGTTTAAAACCTATAACAATTTGTAGCATGTAAATGTATTTTAATGAACATTTAACCATGTATAGCCAAATCAAAACAAAAATCATGATTTATTGTGCTGTTTTTTTTTTTTTATATACCTATTGATATTAATTCAATACACTATATTGTACAATTTATTTATAATAATTGATCATTTTGTTATTATAAAAATAGAATAATAAATAAAAATTTATAATCGTAAAATTTATATTAAAATATATAAAAAAAATTTTTAATATTCCTTTGGTACAGATAATTTTATACATACAAAATGATCTTTATACGATTAAAAATAAATAATTATTAAATTTTGCTCGAAAATAGTAAATCGTTGGATAATTTAGTGTTTATTTTTATTGTCCAATTAAAAGTATCAGAATTTATTAAATATTAATTAGTAAAATGTATATTTTTATATAAAATGTTAAATTGATATTTAAATAATTATAAATAATTTATAATATAAATAATTTTCTTTTTATTTGAAAGCATAAACACTCGATATAATATATTTAAATTAACGGAGGTACGCCATTGGCTATGACGTTTGTCAAGACACTTATTTGTATACAGCTGTAGTGTGCAACACGTGCGTACTCGTGAACACATGTATCGTTGGTACATTCGTCGTTTTTATCCTAATTTTTGGCAACATGGGGGTCCACGATAACGCAGATTCGAAATATATCGTTATGGGTAGTTCGAATTTTTCGAAATTAGCACCGAAACGTCCTACTACCGTGGTGTTCAACGATAGCCCAACCAAAATCTCAAAACACGAAGACAGTCAACAAAACGTTCAGACAGAAAACGTGGATAAAGGAAGCATTACTTTACAACAACAAAGGAAGTCTTTACCAGTCTATAGGCTTCGGAAGCGGTAAGTTCTGCATATTTTCTTTCGTTTTTCAACCAATTCTCGTTGTTATTCTTTACTGTGAACTACATCTTCTTAATAAGCACGCGAAGCATCGTGAAACAAAATGGAGAATCGTCAACTATGCAAAGTTGATAATTCGCTTGTTCCTCGTATAGATGTCACCTTCTATCGAATCAAAAACGCGCGCACTAAAAATTGTATTAAAAGTTATTTTAATTTTTACAAATTAGAAAATTTTAATACGTGTTAAATATCGATTAATATTTATAATTAAATGTCACTATCTAGTCAAATTATTCAAATTTTTTTAATTTTATTTGTTATATCAGTATTGAAACTTGTTTTTTCGTTGACAAAAACTTGAATTTTTGCGAATGCAATATCGTAAAAAACACCTCTATTTATATTATATTTTGCGAGATCATCGTTTTAGAGGTATATTTTAAAATTATAATTTTTTAAAGAATGTATTTGTCTACATTTTTTTAAATCAAAAATCACGACACATTATAATATTGAAGGAAAAATAATGAAAGGAAGTTCAATTGACATTTCATATTTTATCTGTGGTCACGTGCGAAAAATAAATAGATAAGAGCAAATAGTGGGAGAAGGACAGAGATAGAGTAAAAATATTGAAATCAGCGACATCTTCAGTGTGCCGCAAATGAAACACAGAAAGAAAGGACAGAAGATGATAGAAGAAGGATAGAGATAAAACAAAAATCGGCTGGTAGCGCCATCTTTTGAATTTTAAAACATTCAAAGAATCGAGAATCAGCGCCATCTCTCGACTTTACCTTGTTTTAAAGAGATATCTTTGCTACTCGAAAGATGGCGTCATCGGTCAATTCTTATCCTATCTTTATCCTTTTCCTTCTATTTTCTATCCTTGTCCAGTGTGAGTTTCATTTGCGGCACACTGAAGATGGCGCTGATTTCAATATTTTTACCCTATCTCTATCCTTCTCCCATTCCTTTTCCCTCCTTGTCTACACTCGCTTTATCTTACACTCACGCGTTCAAGACAGAGATAACTTCAACTGAACGAACGTTAAAAATTCAATCAATGAATACGTACACTGTACCCTCCTGTTGTACGAAATAATTCAACGAAATATTTCATTCATTCTCATCTTTCTTCCGAATGATTTCAAGATTTAAAAATAATATCCAAAAGAAGATAGAATCGATCAGATCGAATCGAACGAAAACGAAATTGTTTGGAAATCCCATCCATCAACCATCGATCGAAAAAATGAAAAAAACTACTGAACCAATCTCCCTTTTATCGCGTGAATTACGATTCACTTTCGACGTTCCCGTTTCAAAATAACCTTCCTCGAGTATCTTGAATCCGTTTCAGGTTGCTCGAAGAGATTCGCAGGAACAGCACTCTGATCATCATCGGCGAGACGGGGAGCGGGAAGACAACGCAAATCCCCCAACTGCTGCTCTCGTCCGGCATAGCTGGCTGCACCGGGTGCATAGGTATCACCCAACCGCGGAGAGTGGCCGCGGTGAGCGTTGCCCGTAGGGTTGCCCAAGAGCAGGGCGTGGAGGCCGGCAAATTGGTCGGTTATTGCGTCCGTTTCGAAGACGTGACGTCATCTCAAACGAGGATCAAGTATCTGACCGACGGGATGATGGTCCGCGAGGCGATGACCGACGAGATTTTATCGGATTATTCGGTGGTGATCCTCGACGAGGCCCACGAACGATCCGTCCAAACGGACGTGTTGTTAGGGGTGGCGAGGAGGGCGCAGAATTTACGAAAGCTGAAGAACCTGCCGCCGTTGAAGCTGCTCGTTATGTCGGCCACGATGGACGTGGACAAGTTCACCAAATATTTCCAAGCGCCGGCGGTGTATTTGGAGGGTCGTCAGCATCCGGTGAAGATTTATCACGCCGTCAAGTCGCAGGAGGATTACGCGTTCTCCGCACTCGTCACCGCCTTCCAGATTCATCGCGACAACCCTGCCAAGTAAATAAATAATTTATTCCTCCCCTTTCTCTTTCTTTCTTTCTTTCTTTCTTTCTTTCTTTCTTTCTTGAAAATAATTTTATTTATATACACACATATATACACGGAGGAGAAGCGTACCACCGTCCCTGGCAGTAGAAATTTTTTCCAATCCTTATTTCCATTAGTATGCCAATCTCCTCCGCGTATATTTACATACCGTTACTTTTATTAGATTGAGAGGTGAGCAGGTTGGAATACGAAGCTATACGGGAAACTAGGCGAGAGAAGAGAGGCGATTTCCTGAATTCTTCCGTCTTTCTTACAGCGAGGACATTCTCGTCTTTTTAACCGGGCAAGAGGAGATAGAGGCAGCGGCAGTGAGCGCTAGGCAAGTAGCTAAACAGCTGGACGGCCAGGGTTATCCGTCGTTGAAGGTGTTTCCGTTGTATTCCGCTTTGCCCACGCACCAGCAATTGGAAGCCTTCAAACCATCCCCACCTGGAATGAGAAAACTGATTTTGTCCACGAACGTAGCCGAAACTTCCGTCACCATTGGCGGTACGTGTAATACATTGACGTTCGTCAAATACCATCCGAAAATCTCGTAATCCCACCGACAAAAAACTTCCTAACCGCAGGTAGTAGAAACGATGTTGCTCGAACGATGCCTGCAAACTGCAGAAATCGGTCTAGATTTCTTCATTCGGCCGGCATCGGAAACGGAAGAACGAGTTAACCCTCCACCGATGCACTCCCTCGTATGGACACCTCCACGAATTACCGTATTCCAATTCCATTTCTTCCCCTTACTTACTCCCCATTACTATACTCCTCCTCCTCCTCCTCCTCCTCCCTTTCCATCCAGAATCCATCCAGAGAGAAAAGTAAAAAAAAAAAAAAAGAAAAATTCTCTCTCGTCCAAGTCTTGGCAAACCCTTGTAATCTTGCGTAACGGGTTAATTCGGCAAATTTGTTGATCGGGTGAAGAGCAATTTCATTTTCACGGTGGGTCGCAATCCGCTAATATCACGATATCGGAACAGCGGTGCAGCTCGTTCGTGACAGACTTGATTACGGATCGAGCCGCGTTCTCGTGATTACATCCGCGGAGAAGAGAGGGAGAGAGAGAGGGAGAGAAAGAGAGAGAGAGAGAGAGAGAGAGAGAGAGAGAGAGAGAGAGAGAGGATGCGATGGCTCGCGAGGACACACACATACACGCGCACACGATGATATTCCCGATGAAATTACACAGGAATTCGACACGTGATCGACACGGGGGTGGTGAAAGCGAGAACTCATCACCCGACCACCGGATTGGATGTGCTGAGGGTTGAAAAAGTGTCAAAGGCACAGGCGTGGCAGAGGACGGGGAGAGCGGGGCGGGAAGCGGCCGGCAAATGTTACAGAACGTACACGAAGGAGGAATTCGAGAGGATGAAGGAGATGCCTGTGCCGGAGATACAAAGGTGTTCCCTCGCGGGAGTAGCCCTCCAGCTGCTCGCAATCGGGGTTGATATCACCACCTTTGATTTTATGGACAAACCGCCCAAGGAGGCTGTCGACGTCGCGGTCACCTGCCTCGAAAAGTTGGGCGCCGTTAAGGGTGAGAGCAACAGCGTTTTAAATTTCAACTTACGTTACGTACTATGATATCCGGCCGTCGTATCAAATTGCCAATTTTAGAACGAACGAGTAAGTTTATATTTTTTCTACTTGTACTTGTATTTTTATTTTGTCCTTTTATATGTGTATATATGTTTGGAATTATCGTTTATAAATGATGTATTCTGTATATAGATTGTACAGAATCGATGAGACTTTTCGAGGGCGAGGCAAAAAAGTTTGGTTGATATATTATACCGTATCACACGAAGTTGCCAATTTTAGAATGAACGACAATCAGTCGTTGTAAATTCTACTTAACCTATATTTTGCTTATGGTATATCTTTACGTTGTCCTCTTGTATTTCCTTAAAGTTCTTTTTTTCATTAGTTTATTAATCATTTTTTGAACGATATGGCGAATGAACTTAGAATATTATTCCTGTACGAGTTTAAGCTAGCGTAGGGTCACAGTGCACCTGAACCATATCGAAATATTTTAAGGTTAAGGGAGAAGATTCTGTCTAGATGGTGGTTTCAAAAATTCAGATCTGGAAATGAGAATCTTGAGAATGAGGGCAGAGGTAGATCGAAATCCATATTGAACAAAGATAAATCGAAAGGCAAAGTGGAAGCAGAGTTGGACGTATCTCGAATGACAGTTTTCAGATGAAGTGAAAAAATTGGAAAAGGAAAGCTCGAAACGGTACAAGTCATTTTTGAATGGAATCGTAACCTCGTGATGAGAAACGGATACTATACGATGATCGTGCGCGAGATCTGAACAATGGTTGGACGCTAATGAAAATCCTAAACGAATGGCGAAACCGTTGTTACGACTGAAAAAAAGTTATAGTGGTTATACAAGTGGTCTGTAAAGAGAATAATTTGTTGTTCTTTTTTGAAACGAGGAGATAACGTAACAGCAGCATCCTACTGTCGAGAGATCGATTAAGAAACGATCATAGTCAATGACGTGGACCTTCTATTCTTCTGCATAACATCGCTCTACAAAAATTAGCTGAATCGAAATATGAAATCTCACCAGATATTTCACCGATTATCGCTTGTTTGTAGCCATTTACAGTTGTTTTTAAAAAATAAAATACTTGAGAATCGAAGGCAACATTCGAGGAACTTTTTCGCGCTAAAACCATGAAATTTTATAAAAATGGAATGTGTCGGTTGGAATCTCGTTGAGAAAAGATCATTAAAGTCAATGGCTCGTATTTTGATCGAATATAGATCGTATTTTACATGATATTTTACATATATATATACAATTCAATAAAAATTAAAAACGTGTTTCAACGAGTTTCAACACTTTTTGAATCGTTTTGAAATTATTTTCCTTTCCATAGAGTAGAAACAGAGATCGTTTTGTTCCGTGTCTACGATAAGTGAACTTGCATTATTACATATATGCACGTAGAAACATCGATGAAATGAGACGCAAAGCTAGTGAGATTCCGTTCTGTTGAATTTGCGAGAACAGAAATCTGGATCTGGTCGATTAAGCTTCCGGACTGGAGATTTAAGTTTGAGTTTCTGGTTCGCGAGATCGGATTGCTAATTGAATTGCTCAAACCGTTGAAAGATTTAGTTTCTTTAAAACAGTTTGTCTGGGTTTTGCAAGTTTAATTATACTTGGGTCGTGCTCGAGAATTAATGTTGAAAAAGTAAACCTCGAATAAAGGCAATCTTTGGATAGGCTTCGTATAAGAAGAGGATCGATGGATGGTTGATTTCAATTTCAATCTTACGTTTCCTCCTTTCTTTCCTCCTTTCTTCTTCTATTTCGATTTCATCGCCTTTAATCGCCTTTATTTCTCAACGAGCGAAAAAATTAGAATTTTCGAAAATTAAACGAATTCTTTTTCTTTTTTTTTTTTTTCCGATCGAATTGCTAAAACGATCCAATTTTCATTATATAACGAAAATAACGATAACGAAAACGTCAAGAGCAAATTCCTTTTGTCGATTTCAAGATTTTCACTTACGAATACTCGTTCCCTTCTGTGAGAACGATTCTACAATTTCGTTTCATTTTCTTCAATTCTATGTTTCGCCGTTGATTGTACGGCCCAATGTGGGAACAATACTTTTTAACGCATTTGTATCAGCCGATGCAACCTTCGTTTCTTGAAAAATGTGCAAACATGTCCCGTAGTTTGGTAGCGCCGAGTACTCGTGCTAACTTCTCGCATAAAATTTTATCGGTGGTCGGTGGAATAATAATAAACCGTGTATACCGTATATACGATTTCAAATTTGTGCACAGTGTGTAGTTCGAGCGTGGAATATTTTTATCGGAATATTTTTCGCTCTTCTCTTCCTTTTTTTTTTTTCTCTTTCCTTTTTTTTTAATTTTTTTTTTCGGTAGAATTTCTCGCAGTCCTGGCTTTTATTAATTTATTCGTCGTCGAATATTTCCATATATAAATTTTCGCTAGAAGAATTCTCCCCGCCATAAAGTTATTAGCAAGGGACAAATTGAAAATTCGTTGCTCCCCAACTTTCGAAAAGGAAGATTCTGAAATTCAAATAAGCGACGTTGACTTGCCGAGGAAATATATATATATATATTCTACGTTCGTGGAAACAATACGTTTCCACGCTTTATTTCTTTTTAGAACGGCAATATTTCATATCTCGCGTGCTCGTTGTTATCGTAACTGTATATAAGATACGTCTAAAGTGAAAATCGGTTCGCAATTTTATTCGAATCGCGTTTATGCCGTCTGGAGTAGAGTATAATTCCCATGATTGATATTGTGATTTTATATACGAAAATCTTTCCTTTTTATTTCTTTACCAGAGATTGTGCAAGAGAGAAGGAGAAAAATTACACGCGAATAAAAGGATATTTTATCAGCTTGCTCGAATAAATTCGATCGAATAAATTAAAATTTCTTTCTGAAGTAATATTTCCCGTTCCATCATTAATCCATTTTATCGCTCTGTTTAAATAAAATTTACACTTCGTATCGCAAGAACGAGAACGTCGATAAACAAAACTTACTTCGTATTCGTTCGTAAGACGAGTACGTCAAAAATATGTTTATCAACACCGATGATTTCATTCGAGCAGGTTCACCGCCACAGTTGACTACTCTCGGAAGGACGATGTCCCTGTTCCCGTTGGACCCGCGATTCACCAAGGTGATTCTCGCATCTGTGGAGCATCAGTGCCTCGAAGAAGCCCTCACGGTTGTCTCTCTATTGTCGGGAGAGTCTGTTTTCACCGACCCACCCGCGAAAAGGCAGCAGGCTTACGTCGCCAGATCAAGGTACCTCTCGTCTCGATTTTCCTTCCTTCTCTTTCTCTGAGTATACCGTATCATAATACCGTTTCTTCTTCATAATCTTCTTACGTTTTATAAATATCTTCGTCGCGAGAATCCTCTTGAAGGGTGTGAGGGTGGGTTTTTCACGTTGCAAACATGTAAAGGATACGTACATTACAGCCAGTAACTTGGAGCAACCAATAGAAATAGATTCGTTATTGAATATTGTTGCAACTTGCTCTCTAAACGTTATATTAATAAAGAAGACGACGAGGTGAAATTTAGATACAAATCTATTTTAACATTGTGTCAATTGGAAATTTTCAAATTATCTAATCCTTGCAGATTACGACATTGAAATAAAATTTGGATTTCTCTAAGCATCGAATACAAGAATTTTATTTCTATTATTTAAATCAATCTACTCCTATAATTTAATAACGATTTAATTGATTTCACAAATTCGAATCATAATCTCCACCTTAAAGAAGAGAATTCTTTTTCTTTTCACATCCACCCTCGCGTTCCTTTCTTCTTTAACTCGGAACAAATATCCCGTATATAAATACGATATAATCGAAAAATTCCAAGTAGTTTTTAGCCGAAATCGAGTCGAAATGTAATAAATATAAAATAAATAAGAAATGAATAAAGTCGAATAGGAATTTACGAATAGCACTGCGAACGTGAATCCGTGATCGATACTTGTTCTTCGTTACGCTTTCGTTGTTCCAGATTCGCCTCACCCGAGGGAGACCACGTCACGTTGCTGAACGTTTTTCGCGGGTACACGAACACGAAGCAGAAGAAGGTCTGGTGTCACGACAACTTTCTGCATCACAGGAATCTGGAATACGCGGTGGAGGTGCGACACCAGCTCGCCGCGTTGGCGGACCGCGCGAATTTGGAGAGGGCGAGCTGCGGAACGAGCACCGACCGATTGAGGAAGGCCCTTCTCGAGGGCCTCTACGATAATCTCGCCGAATTGCAGAGGGACCAGACTTACGTCACGGTGAGCGAGTTCCCTCCTTTCCTTTTTCTCTCGATTCCGAGGAGAAGATCGAACCTTCGCCCAATTCTCAAGCAAGTCGAACGAGATTTTATTCTTGGAATAAAAGTTGCTGCTAAAATTTAATTTAGAGACCGAATTTTTGAGTATTTTGAGTTGATGGTTGAAAAAAAGAAGAAGAAGAGAGAGAGTATCGGCTAAACTCCTCGGAAAAGAAACGAAAAAGAATTTTCCTCGATTCATTTTGAGATAATTTAGAGACCGAATTTTTGAGTATTGTTGACGGTGTAAATTTTACGGTTGAAAAAAAAAAGAAGAAGAGAGAGAGAGTATCGGCTAAATTCCTCGGAAAAGAAACGAAAAAGAATTTTCCTCGATTCATTTTGAGATAATTTAGAGACCGAATTTTTGAGTATTTTGAGTTGACGATGTAAATTTTACGGTTGAAAAAAAAAAGAAGAGAGAGAGAGTATTGGCTAAACTCCTCGAAAAAAGAATCGAAAAAGAATTTTCCTTGATTCATTTTGACTCGAATGAGGAAGGTAACGTTCAATAACAACGAGTTTTTCCAAACGTGCAATATGGAACGGAGTTATTCCGTATTGTCATTTTGGAATTTGGGGAAGCTCGAACGAGGTTTTCTTTGGAGTGTAGGGGCGCGGTTTAAGCAAGTTTTCTCCTCTCGAGACTCGGGTAACGAGAATTTAGAAGTAATTGGATTGTTGGTTTGTGTAGGTGAGCTCGAAGCAGCCGGTCTCTATACATCCTTCCTCCACGTTGCACGCCAGCAAACCACCGTTAATATTGTTCACGGAGGTTATAGCCACGGGGAGATGTTATATCCGCGGTTTGTCCGTCATCGACTCCTCGTGGTTGACCGAAAAAGGCTTCAATGCAGCTGGGAAACACGACTAGAGATGGGGAAAAGATCGGTAATTGCGATTCAATCGTTTTTTCCCTTCTTTCTCCCCTTCCTTTATTTTCCCCTTTTTTAACGTTTCGATCTCGTTTTAATCAAGAGGAATTGACACGACTTGTTTTTATACCCTGTACAGCTCTTTAATAAAAGCGATGGTTGTCTTAACGTATATATATATATATAAAATATGCTCTATCATTTATTTTAACAATCTTTCCCTCCTTCCAATTTTCATCGTGATTTTTAAATAAGCGTATTTATTTCGATCTCGATTGAAAATAAACGATGCAAACACGCGTTTAATAATGTTTAACTCTGAAACCTCTGCACTTATACATCCTGTATAACACATCCTTGCATTAATAGAAATCGATTAATCGTAGCATTTCTGTATTTTAAGCGAAACGAAAGGGGGAACAACGACTTGGGAAACGTTCGAATCGATCGAAACTTGGGCAAGTATTTCAAAGGCGATCGAGTCCATCGATAGAATGGATTTAAACGACTCCTTTGGACGAACGATTTTAAACGTTCTCGAACGTTTCGAGTAGACACGAAATGGGAGTGTATAGTAGTCGTCTCACGGTTCGATGCGTGTCACCACAACAGGTGGCCATCTCCACGGAGTACCGTTGCTATTCGTTACGTGCAAATATAATCTGTTACTCGGTGTTACAGTAGGTAGGTTGATGTAGCTATGTAATTATCTTTCGAGCCGCGTGGTTTTTGTTTTTCTTTTTCTCTCTCTTTTTTTTTTTTTTTTTTTGCGCCGCAAATCGACAGCGGATGCGTAGCGGATTTCGTGTTACGTATCCACGTGGAACAGCTCGAGATGATAAGATGACGATCGAGAAAAAGTAAGAAAAAAGGAAAAAAAAAAAATAATAATCGCGCGAAAAACGTTCCTTGCCTTCCAACACACTTTTCCAACGTAACTGTTGTTCGTAGATGTGAACATTTCACGTTATGGAGAAAAAGTGTTTGTTAAGATTAAGAAAGATGATAACACGAAGGAAAGATAGATGGTCGATTTAGAGTTTTAATATTGTTGGATAATTATTCCAAGGTCCCTTATTCGAGTGACAAATCAAAATTATTTAATCTCTGCTTCGTTTTGATTTAAAAAAACACGAGATTAACGTTTAACGTAATTTGTGTGTTCTCTATAAAAAAAAAAAAGAGAAAGGAAAATTATTAACGTCGAGTTTATCTACCGCTTAATTTTATCTATTAAAAGAAGGAAGATATAAATCAACGATTATCGAAATTATTTTATTTATCCTGTGTATGATATATAATAACGGAGATAATTTATATTTTAATCGCGTATCATTTATTTCGAATCGTTTTGTACGTCGCGTGTAATTGGTTGGGAAGCAACGTGGGACGCGCGCAGTATTGGTGGTCGATTTCAGAACGAATTGAAATTGCGCGAAGCTTCGAAACACCGGAATGAAATTATTTAACGGGGTTTACAGGTGTTGCCGGTATAGGTGTTCACTTGTTGGCATTAACACGTTATGGCCGTGCGCAACGCCATTCCATAGACTTGCATTAATTACTACTTAAACGGCGGAATATTGAATTTTCAACGCGTAAGCCGATCATCGTCCAACGGAGGAAGAGCATCGCTACGTAATTAACGTTCTCGTCCCTTTAACGGTGCCCTACGGTTTTCCAAACCTTTTTTATCCTTCATTTTCCGTTCCAATTTTCCACTTAATCCCTTACGGCTTATTTTCGTTTCCGCACATTTTGACAGCAATTCTTTTTAACATTACGTCGGAAAATTGATCGACGAAGCGCGAAGATTAAGACAACTTGTCAAAAATTACTCAAAATTTACACTCCGAAAATGTTAATGTTAATTAAATCTGATCTTTTCAATCAGATTTTCAAAACGTTGTAAACAATTTTTAATCAAAAAAAAAACAAAAAGACTCGTCAAATTTCTCGCAAATTTCCTCTTCTTCGTATGGAAGTTTCAACTCGATCATCGAGCAATACGCGAAATACGGTCCATATCCGTATTCTCGGATACGGTATCGGCCCCATTTTCCGAAATCGGAACAAAGGGAGGATCTTTCAGTCGTCTCTAAATAGAGCATCGCGTAAAATACAAGATCGGTCGCGACAATTACGCGGGATGAAGCCGGCGGCGTCGTCGTCCTCGTCGTCGTCGTCGAATAATTTCTGCCCCTCGCGCAAACTCGGGTGGTGGCGTTGCTGGTGGGTTGTCTGCCTGTGTGCCACCCGCCTCGCGATATCGAGTTATCGTTCGCCCTCGCCCCCCACGCGCCTCCCCTCTTCCAAGATACCTGTTTCTCGAGGTTCTCGTCGTCGAGGAAAATCGCATTCCTCGGTGTCGCGTGGCATTAACCGTATCAGCAACCTCTCTCGTGTAAGATTCCCTCCTCCTCCTCCTCCTCCTGCTTTTCCTCCTTCCTCACGCTTTCTCGATTTTGCTCGACATATTACGCTTCGTCGTGTGCTCGTCACCCCATTTACCGAGAAACATCCCCTTTGTTCCGAGACACGTTCCACGTAAGGGAGAAGAGCCGCTCCATCTTGACGAGGGCCGTTCGCCCTCCCACTCCTATGCTTGTTCCATATCTACCAAATGCTCGATAACCATATTATTTCCTCTATATACATATATATAGTCGTTCTTTGTCGTTTGTTCGAAGAAAAAGAGAGAGAAAGAGAGAGAGAGAGAGAGAGAGAGAGAGAGAGAGAGAGAGAGAGAGAGAGAGAGAGAGAGAGAGAGAGAGAGGGAGAGAGAGAAGGAGGGAGGAAAAGGGGATTTTCATATAGGAGATGTTTTCTTACTTTTGATATTTTTCTCTCCATCTCTATCAACGCGTCGTACTTTATTAATGTCGATCGAGATACGAGAAATCTTTCGATTTAAAAGTAGGAGAAAGTTTATTGTTTTAATGTTAAATATATACGTGTGAAAGTGATTAAAATTTAATTACAGAAATCTTCTATAAATTGAAATGTATTATATAATAATTATCTATTATCGATGAGTGAAAAATGCGAATAAGAGGAAGATTAATTTCAACCGGTTCCGGGAAATACCATTGTGCATATAGCTGTTGCCAATAAAAGGCTGCTCACTGCTAACCTCAACCAAACAACTCCACCGTTATTAAGCCTTTGCGGTCCGAACCCGGAATATTCTCGGCAAACTGACTTCGAACGAAACCTACCTACGTATTCGCATTATTACCACGCGAATATATCCACGAAAACGTCAAATTAACGTTTTAAATTGAATCTGACCGTTTTACGAAACCCTTCTATCCAAAATACAAATCCGAAATAACTTCAACTCTAATCCAATCCCCTATCGGTACAACGAATCGAAATATACAGCAACACTTTAAAACTTAACCTAAATCGTATCTCGTAAGTTTTACCTGTGTGCGTTCCCGAGGAGAGCCGGCAGATATTCCCCGTTTAAAACGCTTTTCGTTTCATATCGATACGACCATCCGTTCTCCGGATATTCTCGTTTAAAGTGGAGTGTGTAATTTCGACCGTTCGCCATTACGTCTCCCTCTCGCTCGCGCGTTCTCGATTCCCCCTCCCTCCCTCTCTCTCTCTCTTTCTCTCTCTCTCCCTATCTCTTTCTCTCTCACTCTTTCTTTCTCCTCATCACGCGACCTACCGCGAGCGCGGCATCTGTGCGCTGGTCAACGACGAGCACTGAGTCATCGTCTTTTTTACTATTGCTAGCGTGGACGTACGTACGTATTTTCCAGGAAAGAAAGTGGGTCAAGTCGAGCGCGCCGCTTTCAAGAATTCGACCGCGCCATTGAAGAATCCCCTTGCATTTTAGCTGCTCGTGTTTTGCGCGCTCCTCTATCTCTAGGGAACCTAGAGGTGTGGGATAAAATTGGAATCCGATGACGCGATTTTCTTCGATCTTTTTCGGTGGGAAATCACGCGTTTTTTTTTTTTTAGGTAGGCTTTATTTCGATCGAAGTCGAAGTGGAAATTTGAAAAATTTGGAAAATCTTCTGAGCTGGGATAAAATCGAACGAGATCTTTTTCGATTAAGCTTCGAAATCATACGTTTTTAGATGTATATATATATATATATAGGATTTATTTTATACCCAAGTCGATGGGAATTCCCGTTGTTGGAAAATTTTCTGTCATGATGGGATAAAATGGGAATCCGATGACGCGATTTTCCCCCGATCTTTCGACCGAGTTTCGCTTCGAAATCACGCGTTTTTACGCGTTTAGGTTTTATTTTGGAAAATTTCCATCGTTTCGTTAATTGTTCGATTTTAATTTTAAATGTTTTTTGAAATTTTATTAACAAGTGGAATTAAAAGTTGGTTCTTTTTGTGGAACTTTTTTCTACTTTATTTTATACTTTATCAAACATTTTTCTTAATTAGATATCGCGTACCTCGTCGAGATTATTACACTCAACGATGATAAATTTAATACGTTGGTAACAATAGTTAATTACATCGTGTATAGAATGGCTAAAGCGTAACAACGTGAATTACACGTATTACAGTGATGACAATATAAATAAAAAAAAAAAAATCTTTAATGCATGTCTACGTGAAAAAGGATGTTTAAGGTTGATGTCGGATAATCATGCTACGCCCAGTGAAATTTCTCGCGTGTGAAACGACGATTGAAACGGTTTTGGATGGCGTGCGAGTAATTACTCGAATTTTAATTGCCTTACTTTAGTGGGCAAAACTGATAAAAGGCTCGTTAGGTCGCAAAGTTGGATGTTAAATATCGGAATTTATTCGAATTAATTACCGATTTTCCGCCATTTAATACGTTAAATGTATATATGTAATAAATTGAAACCGTCGTGAAATTTCGTTTACGAATAATATTATAAATAAATTTTTGCTTAATGGCGAATCGTTGAAATGACGATTTGGATACGTAGATCGCAACGATGTATCACAAATGATCAATCGGATCAAGATAAAAAGTAAAAGCGAGAAGTGGTACGATTTTCTATCAAATAATTTCGATATTCGATATTTTTACGTATCCCTTTTATGGGATTAAGCGAGCAAGAGCAGAAGATAAAGAGTTGAAAAAAATTCGTAGAATTTCCACGAATACTTCTATGAATAATCTATCCCCTCGTAAACCCCTCCATTCGGTAA